CCTTCCTTCCGTGGCTCTCAATTAGGTCTGAACTCGGGGCTCATTGTTATAAGTAACGTCTGATGGGTGGGAACCTCCTGTGGGAAGCGGCATCTTGGCAGCCGCGGGCCGTGCCCAGCTCCTTCGGGCTGCGCTCAGGTTGGAAAGCTTACGCACAACGGAGATCTGGTCCGGTTTGGAAACGTTTTTTAGAGGACCGATTATAAGTAGGGTGTAAAGAGAGGTGATTTGGCGGGGGAGAGAGATTTGGAAAGCCATGCTATATAAGGAAAAGTTTAAGTACTGTGGACCGGGGGATAAAAACCACGGTGGAGAGGAAACAATCTAGGTAGCTACAAACAAAATTTCACTGTAGTTGAAGACCATGTGAGTTGTGTGAGCCTTTGTTTTCTCTTCACTTGCTTTTTGAGTTAATATACACTTTAAGAAAAACTCGAATGCCAAGACCAGGAGAGCATCCCAAAATGAATCTTTACACAAACTCCGCGTGACCAAGTGTTAAATTACTGGTTTGCTTCAGGGAGGGAAAAAATAATAATGTCAAGACAGTTTATTAACCAATTTTTAAATGTTTAAAATTCTTGCCATTGAAGATTCCAACGTCCGTGGAACCATTTCGTTGAGACTTTAATTTGCCTTTCTCTTCTCCCCTCCCCCCACTTTTTTTTTTTTTTTTTTTTTTTTAGCGTGCACTCACTGTTGTTCCTGCTTACTTTGAATTTGTAATTCTCCTGCCTCAGCCTCAGTCTCAGTGAGCTCCTATTACAGGCATGCATCACCACATCTGGGACAGTTCTTTTCTTATTACTAAGATTGTGCACGTTTTTCTGAATTAATTAGTAAGCTGAGACAGGAATGAAACAGAATCCTACATGATTATTAGATCTTAGTGGAACATAGAGAATAAGGAGAGGAGTGATGAGACCTAGTGGAGAGATAGAGGGCCAATTGTGATTCTGTCTGTCGAGCACAATCATGGCGCWTTATTCCGGGAGATTAGATGGCACTTCTCCTCCGCCTCAGTTTTTCTAGTAGTCCTGCACTTGGGTGATTCGGTGGCTATACTAGGTGCAGACGGAGACCAGTGTGAAGGTGCTGAAGCTGGTCCACTCTGTCAGAACATCTAATGGCATCTCTTAGGATGCTTCAGGATTTGTGTTTTTAATAAAAAACCTAAGTGTATGAGGCTGGGCATGGTGGCAGGTGCCGTAATCCCAGCAGCKTGAGAGGCTGAGGCTAGAGAATGCTGAGTTCAAAGCCAGCCTCAGCAACAGTGAGGTGATAAGCAACTCAATGAGACCCTGTCTCTAAATAAAATATAAAATAGGGCTGGGAATGTGGCTTAGGGGTTGAGTGCCTCTGAGTTCAATCCCTGGTACCAAAAAAAAAACAAAACAGGGTGTGGGGGTTGGGGATGTGGCTCAATGGTTAAGTGCCCCTGGGTTCAATTCCCAGTACCAAAAAGAGAGAGAAAGAGTTACAATCTTAAAAGTCTGCAAGCTAAATTGACCAGGGCAAGTTGTCTAACATGAGGGAAACAACTGTCCTTGGGGACAAATGAGTCAGGGGGGCTGGGGCTCAGTGACAGAGTGCTTGCCTAGCAAGCATGAGGCACTGGGTTCAATCCCCAGCACCATATAAAATTAAAAAAAAAAAACTAAATAAACAAAATAAGAATATTGTGTTCATCTACAACTCTGTGTGTGTGTGTGTGTGTGTGTGTGTGTGTGTTTATTTATTTATTTAAAAAATGAATCAGAGCCAGGCTGCCTTGTTCAGTGCTAGATTGCTTCATCCAGGGTTCATGAGGAAAGAATCTGGGTAGGACATGATCTTTTCTCTAGGCACAGTATGTTCTTGGTCTGTACTGGTTTCAAACCTAGAGCTGTTTTTACCTCACTAAGGGAGCATTGTAGTTAATTTTAAGTCCAGTTCATTCATTCATACACTCCACAAAATCTTTTGTTTTAAGAGACAGGGTCTTCTTCTATTTCCCAGGCTAGCCCCAAACTCTGGCTTAAGCAATCCTCGTGCCTCAGTCTCCACTCCACTTTATTGAGCATCTGTTATATACCAGAYGTGTGCTAGACTCCCATTCTATTCACTCCTCAGTGAATAGTTTACATAGTAAACTAAAGCTCCTGTTCTCTTTCCACTTTATATTGTCTTACCTTCAGCTACAACTTATCACTTGAGCTTTCTGCTGCTCAGTGACTTCTTCAGAGATTCTTCAGCCTTACCCTCAACTGTAGGGTACTTCCCAAGCTAGTTCACACCCCAGATCCRAGTAGTTCTTTTTTAGTATTAAAAATACTTTGATTATTTAAAAATAACATTCCTCAGCTGGGATACAGCAGCCACGCCCATAACCCTAGTGACTTGGAAGACAGTAGAATAGCAAGTTCAAGGCCAGACTGAGCAACAACAAGGCCCTATCTCAAAATTTTAAAATAAATAAAAAGGGCTGAGGATGTAGCTTAGTGGTAGAGAATCCTTGGTTTGATTTCTCTTACCATAGAAATAAATAAGTTTCTTGGCTGGTTAAATTTTTCTTACTATATCAAAGGATACCACAAACTCTCCATATTCATCTTTTCTACAAATTTTTAAAGACTGTTGGCTTTCATTTCCCAAACTGATTATTCATTGGTAGTTCCTGAAGATGGAGAATGGCATTTTCCTATTTTGGAGTATTTGGGGAAAGTGGTAGCATTGAAAATATCCTAAGACGTTCCATAATTTAAACAAAAGCTAAAAGTCTTGTTTGGTGTTGGCTAACCCTTATTTCCTAGCCTCAAATTTAGCCAGAGAATCCTTTATTTGGATGATTGGCTTTGGTTATGAAATAGTGCTGTATGTTTTTCTTGCTATGCCGTAGTTTCCCTTCTCATGTTTTGAGCTTCTTGCTGATGTTTGTGATTCTATTGCTAAGCATTCCACCAACATTAATTTCATAAATACAAACCTTCTCCACACAGCACCAGCAATAAAAACTATTTAGTTTGTCAAAGGACTATTTGTAATACCTTTAAAGATTTTTTGATTACGAAAGAAGTAATATATATTCTTTTTTAAAAATTTGGAAATCCAAACAAGAAAAGAATCTTGAAATTCTCTATCATTACATAACCCAGCAATGTCACTGTTAATTAAGTTTTGGTCTTTTTCCCTTGTTATGTTTGTACTATGCACATATTTATCACTTTTTATACCTCGAGGTGCTGGCAAGCCAGATCCAGGGAGATTGATGCATGTACAAAACTAGCTTAGTTTGGTGTTTTAATGTGCTAGGTCGAGATGTACTACAAGTCCTCCTTCAGGTTTTATAAAGTATTTATAGATCCTCTTTACAGTCTTTACAGATATTATCAGTGTAATTTCATGTAGGTATTTTAAGTATTTCTCTTTTTTAGGACTGGCAGAATTTTGCTCTTCTAGATAGCCATATTCAACATAGGATGCCTAGATGTCTTGAAAGATGCTGCTTAAGATTTGAAAACAGGGGGCTGGGGATGTGGCTCAAGCGGTAGCGCGCTCGCCTAGTGTGCGTGCGGCCCGGGTTCGATCCTCAGCACCACATACAAAAAACGAAGATGTTGTGTCCTCCAAGAACTAAGAAAAATAAATAAATGTTAAAATTCTCTCTCTCTCTCTCTCTCTCTCTCTCTCTCTCTCTCTCTCTCTCTCTCTCTTCCTTTGTCTCTCTCACTCTCTCTTTAAAAAAAAAATTGAAAACAGGAAGATCAGTCACAAATATAAGACTTTGATTAATTTATGTATTTTTTTCTAAAATATGCTTAATAAGTGCCAGTAATTATAGACTGATTCTCTTGTCTATTTATTTACCATCTCCCCTATTATAAAAGTTTGAAAGCTCCCAGAGGGTGGGGTGTGTGTTGTACTTGCCTACTRCAGCCCTAGCACCATCCGCATGACAGGTATTCAGATATTGAATGAATAGACTTCATGGCAAATGAAGAGAATCGAAGTGATTATGTTATTACTTGTGTGTTGGTATTCACATGTGTCAATAGCCTGAAAGATTTAGAGTATTTAAAATTTAAAAGAAAAGATACTTTAAACATTTTAAAAAATATTTTATTAGTTACAGATGCACACAGTACTTTATTTTATTTTTAAGCAATGCTGACGATCGAACCCAGTGCTTCATAGATACTAGGCAAATGCTCTACCACTGAGCTACAACTCCAGCCTTACTATAAGCATTTTTTTTTGTTTCCTCTATTTTGAGTGACATTTTGTCAAAATAAATATCACAATAAGAATACATGTCACTTTTAGTCTATTCTCTGTCATTCCACCTGCCTTTCTGTTAAAAAGCGAAAGACATTTTAAAACTTGCATATGCCCTACTTAAAATGGGTCAAGTGAAGCTCAAAATTATGTCTTTAATTACACTTCATTATTGTATGTTAATTAATTCCAACCTCATACCTGGTTATGCCAACAAACCCAGTTATTTGACTACTAAATTTAAAAAATATATATTTCTATATAGATAGAAACAATAACTTTATTTTATTTTATGTGGTGTGAGGATTGAACCCAGTGCCTCATACTAAGCAGGTGCTCTACCATTGAGCCACAAACCCAGCCCTTGACTAGTAAATTTTTAATGTTCAAGTTAAATAAATGTCTTAGGTTCAAACAGACAGTATTTGACCACTAGATAGCTTGTTGAATGTTCAGAAACTAAGGTATCTCTAGTTGTAAGATTGTGAAACAGTTTTTGGAGCAAATTAATCTGATTTTAAAATTATGCCACACAGCACTTTTTAGGAAGGTAGAGACACAACACAGTAAAATCAAAGTAGGCTATCAAAGCTGACTCCAGAATCATTTTGAATAATAATTTTGGTCATAATTTCTGCAATTTCCTATACTAAAAGTATGTCGATAAAAACAAACAAAAAAGTCACTTTTTCATTTGGTGATTTTATGATGACCGTATTTTCATAGGTTTAACGTGTGGCCCTAAGGAACCAGAAACCCAAAAGAACCRAAACTCCTGCTCCACAAAGCCTGCCCTAGAGAAGCCATTTCTGGAGTCTGTATGATGACCAAGGTGGTGGGCATGGCCACAGTTCTGGGCCCCAGGCCCCCTCAGGATCAGGTGGGGCCTGTGACTGTGAAAGTSGAGGATGAAGAAGAGAAAGGGAAGTGCCTTCCCAGCCTGGAGATGTTCCGTCAACGCTTTAGGCAGTTTGGGTACCATGACACCCCTGGGCCCCGGGAGGCCCTGAGCCAGCTCCGGGTGCTCTGCTGTGAGTGGCTGAGGCCGGAGATCCATACCAAGGAGCAGATCCTGGAGTTGCTGGTGCTGGAGCAGTTCCTGACCATCCTGCCCCAGGAACTTCAGGCCTGGGTGCAGGACCATTGCCCAGAGAGTGCCGAAGAGGCCGTCACTCTCCTGGAAGATCTGGAGCGAGAACTGGATGAACCAGCACTGCAGGTAGGGAAGGGGGGCTTTTTAAATTTCAGATATTAAAAGCATAGCATTCCCTGCAGGAACACGGATTTGTCCATTCAACCAAATTAGCTGGGTAGAATTACTGTGAGTTGGACCATTTTCCTTGTAAGTTTTCTTCTCTTGTCCTAAACTACCTTTAATCTTGAGGATCCAGTAGGATGGATGTTTTTCTTTTCTTTCCCTAGTTTTTCCCTGAGATATTTCATTCTAAAATGAGCTGTGCACAAACCCAGCCATTTTTTACTGTTTCTAGGTTTCAACTCCAAATGAACAGAAACAAGTGTGGGAGAAGACATCATCTTCAGGAAGTGCCAAGGCATCCCTGAGCAGCATGCAGACACAGTSTGTGGAGACCAGTCCCAAGTATGAATCCTGGGGGCCTCTGTATATCCAAGAGACTGGTGAGGAGCAGGATTACACTCAGGATCCAAGAAAAAGTCAAGGTGAGCACCATCTCACAGGGCCCTGGCCTTCATAGTTGAAGAAGGAGAAGGATCCATAATTTATGGTGTGTAGTGACTCCTGGTGTGTAGTGACTCCTGGATTGACTTGACTAGCAGGCTAACTAAGCAAAGTAGTTTCCTTTCTTCCCCACATTTAACTGTATCACCAGGGTCCTGGTGTGGGAACAGATGGCACACTCCTAAAGGCCAAGTGAAATGAGTTAGATAAAGGACTTTACAGAGGTGTGGACAGCCAATGACGGGTAGAGCACCCTAGACAGCAATGTAAAGGTATTATTATCACCAGATGTGGTGGTGCATGCCTGTAATAACCCAACTATCAAGAGGTTGAGGCAGGAAGATTATAAGTTCAGGGCCAGTCTGGGCAACTAAGCAAACCTTGTCAAAAAAAAAAAAAGTAAAAAGGACCAGGGATAGGAATGTAGCTCAGTGGTTAAGCTCCCCAGGGTTCAGTCCCCAGTACCATTTAAGGGAGGAGGGTATTACTCTCTATGAGCCTAAAGGATCGAGAAAGAGGACCTGTCACCAGAGTCTGATGAGAGCTGTAGCCTTGGTTGAGGGAGGAGGGAGGTCACTTGGTAGGAGCTATGGCTGCAGACCCTGTCATCAGATAGAGAGCAAAGGGAATAAATACCCCAGTTTGACGCTGCTCTTGCCCACACATCTTCTGCTAGTGTTCCCTAGACACCCCTGGCAGCCAGATCAGGACAAACAAGACAGTTGTACAGTCCTCTAGCAGTTAGTTTCTTTYGGGTACAGAGCAAGAAACAATGGATTGGGAAAGAGTGAATGGAAGATAACCGGCAGCCTCCTTTCTGAAGCTAGCAGGTCACAGCTGTATTGGGGTAGCTGTACTTCCCTGCTCAAATCCACAGATCATAGTTTACAGAACAGTCTTAGACACTATAGATGGTTTTCCCCTTTGTTATTTCATACTAATGGTTTCTATGCTCATACTATCATTTCCTAAAAGAATTACAACTAAATCTTAAAATATTTAATGTTTAGTTATGTTTATGAAAACATGGGACATTATTCCAGATCTTATAGTCCACCAGGGCTTTGCTCAAGTGTAGGTGGTGTAATCGCTAATCATGTGTATGTTGTGCTTTCATGAGCAGAGTCCATAGCCCTCAGAAATCTCCATGAGATGTTACCATGTCCCACACACATGGAATTCCATCTTAGAAACAGGGGTGGGGTTTTTGTTTGTTTCTATATTAGGGATTGAACTCAGGGGTGCTTAACCACTAACAAATCCCCAGTCCTTTTTTTATATTTTATTTTGAGACAGGGCCTCACTAAGTTGCTGAGGCTGGCCTTGAACTTGTGATCCTCCGCCTCAGCCTCCTAAGCCMCTGGGGTTATGGGTGCGCACCACCATGCCTGGCTGGAAACAGAGTTTTGATCTCTGTTAATCATATTCTCTGGGAAAAGTTAAAAAAAAAAAAAAAAAAAAAAAAGGAATTGTCTGGCTAAATTTAAATGGTTAATGCCAATTCTTCTCTCTAGTCATTTGGAGCCTTCTGGGAGTTTCTAGACTACTTAAAGTTATAGATAGCCATAATGGTTAGTTTTATTTTCTGTTTCTCTTGGCATAGTCACTTGGCAGTGCTACCCAGAGGAGAGGTTGAGAGGAAGGATTATCAGAGCCAGTAGCAGGCTCAGGTTTTAGTGTCCAAATGGGGAGAAAAGACAGGTTCTTGAGCCCTCCTGAGGGAAAGGAAGTTTCTGAAAGCCTTGCTAACTGTGAAAAGTCTTGTTAGGCCCAAAGAACGATCCTACTAGCATGGGATCCAGAACCGAAGTTTGCCAATCTAAGTAGAGATAGAAGCATACCCAGAGACATTGGAACCCTAGACAGCTACCTTAGTAGGAGATCTGACTTTATTTTACCTGAATGGTACAGAAACCTCCAAGCCAAGAAGTTAACATAAGCCTTGGTTCTCAGTACGTGACAGAGCAAATGTGAAGCCACAGACCGTGTATTCCAGCAAATTCTAGACTATTCCAGGCTGTACAGTTATTTAGAGTGAGAGTTGGGGGGGATAAAGCCTTTCTAAGAAATAAAAGTTATAAAATTATGAAATACCCACTGGAGAATAAGAGTCAGTAGACACAAACAGAAGGAAAATTAAAGCTCAATTATCTGTGATAATGGAACATCGATGTAAATCACTTTATAAGTTGGTTTCAAATAAATTAATACAAATCATTGCAATCTCAAGATAGTAAGAAGCTGTTGGGGGAGGGATAAACAGGCAGCTTTGATTAAAAACAATAGAGTTTCTGAACATGAAAACTGTGGTCAATAAAATGAACACAGTGGCTGTTTTAAACAGTTAAAGAGATGATTAGTGGACTGAGGGGTAAACTGAGAAAGTTACCTGAAATGCTGCATGGAAAGAAGAGATGGAARGCGCTGAGAGTAGTGGGGAGTAGGCAGGCCATACAGCTCTGTTTAACATCAGTTCCAGGGGAGAATGGAGTTGGGAGAGACTGAGATTGTCCAGAAGTGATGAAAGACACAAATACTCAAATTCAGGAAATAAACCAAGTGAGCTGAATGTCCCTGAGCTAAATGTCCCTAAAAAACTGTTTTTCTTTTCTTTTTTTTTTTTAATCTTTATTTATTTATGTTTATGTGGTGCTGAGGATCGAACCCAGGGCCTTGCATGTGCTAGGCGAGTGCTCTACCACTCACAATCCCAGCCTCAGAAAACTGTTTTTCAAAGCCTGCTTCATTAGACTACTTTCGAAATCTTAACTTGTATTAAGTTACTTTTATTTGTGTTAAGTAAGATGTACGTGCTACACATAGCTCATGGCTCATGCAGTAACTCAAAATGTCGCCAAGGGATTGCTTCTTTTGAAAAGTGAATAGGAGGATGAAGAGAGAGAGAGAGAGAGAGAGAGAGAGAGAGAGAGAGAAATGGGTTCCATGGAGGGATAACAGTTCTCCACAAGAGCCTGTTTTTCAGAGTGCATTTCTCATAGTCCCCTTTTCCACAAATGGTTAAAATTACTTTGATGAAGTGTTAACTACCTAGCAAGATGCTTTAAATTGGTTCAGTCTGATATTGTCACTAATGATAAGACATAGCCAGCATTAGTTAAATGGTGAGTTAACCCCCATTCATATTAGTCCTGATCTGGAATCAGAATGAATGTAAATGGGACTGAATGCCCTGAAAGTTCTTCATCACTTTCATATTCGGTTCTGTGGGAATGCAGGTTCTGTGAGTTTGCTGCTTAACCTCATCTCCCTGAAGTTATTTTTGTTCCTTAATCAGCTTTGGTCATTGTTCCTGCCTGAGCATCATTCGTCTCCTTTGCTCCTATTCAGATGTGTTTATTTTCCTGTTTATACCTTGTGCCATACATACATATATATATATGAAGCTTTCATGGCAGAAATGTTCATGTACTCATCAGACCATTGTAGCTTGTGGTAGGGAGCTTATGTGTGATGATCTTATTTCTCTTTTAACTGTTTTTTCCTCTTAATAGGAAACAACAAGCATATCCTTTCTCCATTTCTTGTTTCAGACTATAAACTGGATCCCCATAATGAGGAATCAGCAGATGAGCAGAAAAGTTCTGAAGAAGAGTCTCATGCAGATGGACTCAAAGGGGATATCATTCCTGTGATTGTTGCCAATAAGTGTGGGGCCAGGTCAGAAAGGCAGTGGGGGAACCTTGGAAAGGAAAGAGGAGCAAAAACCCCTCTTCAAGACACAGGTTCCAAGAAAGGGGCAGAATCAGTACACACTAAACCCACCCCAGGAGAGAGACGTTACATATGTGCCGAGTGTGGGAAAGCCTTTAGTAATAGCTCGAATCTTACCAAACACCGGAGAACGCACACTGGGGAGAAACCTTATGTGTGCACCAAGTGTGGGAAGGCTTTCAGCCATAGCTCAAACCTTACCCTCCATTACAGAACACACCTGGTGGAGCGGCCCTATGACTGTAAGTGTGGAAAAGCCTTTGGGCAGAGCTCAGACCTCCTTAAGCATCAGAGAATGCACACGGAAGAGGCGCCCTATCAGTGTAAAGATTGTGGAAAGGCTTTCAGTGGTAAAGGCAGCCTCATTCGACACTATCGCATCCACACTGGGGAGAAGCCCTATCAGTGTAATGAGTGTGGAAAGAGCTTTAGCCAGCACGCAGGTCTCAGTTCACATCAGCGCCTCCACACTGGAGAAAAGCCCTATAAATGTAAGGAGTGTGGGAAAGCCTTCAACCACAGCTCAAATTTTAATAAACATCATAGAATCCACACTGGGGAAAAGCCCTATTGGTGTAATCATTGTGGAAAAACCTTCTGTAGCAAGTCAAATCTTTCTAAACATCAAAGAGTCCACACTGGAGAGGGAGAAGTACTATAATTGTCAAGTATCCCTCTTTCATTATTGTTTTCGTAAACTTTAGAACGTAAATGGTAGGGAGAAGCCCGTGATGCAGTAAACTCTGTTGATAGATWTTGTTCCACCCACCATCAGGGATGCCTGTGGAGTGACAGCTCCACAGCACTCAAAGGCAGGAGGTCCCCTCCCCATACTTCAGGACCCAGCAAACCATGCCAGCATTGCCTTCTGCATAAACTGATGCATATCCAGTATAATTAAGAAATATTAGAACTGTTTAACCTTTCAATGTATATTCCAGAGTTATAACTTGTGAAGAATTGATAACACTGAACACAGTTTAATTGAATTCAGAATAAACATGTAACATCATATCATGCCTCAGGACTATTATTGTGATAAATGACGTACTATCAAAACTGACTATAAAACTATTACTATTGGTTTAGCTCTTAGAAATTTTGAGTTGGGGATAAGTAAAGCTTTTGTTACTTGTGAATGTATATATGAGAGGTTATGGTAGAGTGTGTATAGAAGCTACATTTTGGTCTACATTGTGCTTTTTTCCCTACGTATTAAGTACATTTTTTTTTTTATTGTTGGGATCATTTCGTCAACTTTATTTGCATTTTGGTTGTACTTATCCTGTCCATTCCAGAGTCTATTAAAATTGACTCTCCCTGGGCAGCTTCCTTCTTCCAAAATACAATTTGATTATCCTAAATCCATCCTGTCAAAAAAAAAAAAAAAAAAAAAGCCATCCTGTCTGTCCTGTCTGCAATCTCTGTGGCCTCTTAAAACACTTTTCCTTATGGTGTTTCTGGTCCAGAAACCTAGAAACCCAACTGCTTTATCTTCATATTATGATAGGTTTGTTTTATTTTGTTAAGTAGTCACTGAAATATCTTTTTGCCTTCTTCCAAGCAGGGTAACAAGAAAGGTTCATGCTAGTACCAGTCTGGTCTCTGGAAGCTGCCCTGTATGCCATCCCAGGATCCAATTAGGCCACAGTTCTAAATGATAGTCTTCATGTATCAGCCATATATTTGGGGTGGTGTAAGGTGTAATTACTGGAAAAAGAATTTTTTTCTGTTTCAAGCAGTTTGTTAAAGATCTGGGTGTCCTGCCAGCACCTTAAACTCTACATGCAATGCCAACCTGTCTGTATATTCATGATGAAGGCCCACAGAGCATTTAGGCAGCARCTGAGCCCACCATTAGGAGGTCCACTTTACCTTTGATGGTTAAATGCCACCGCCTCTTCTAATCCAGAATTCAGTCATCCCCACTAACATTAGGGAACTGAGTTGCATGGTAGAATCTGCTGTTAATTCTAGCCTTGGGGACAGCCACCACTGAACTCAGTACCAGGCACCTGTCRTGGTGCATCCTGTTATCCTAGTGAACCAGGAGTTCTTTGGTTCCTCTGGGATAACAGTCCAGCGTGGGGTTCTCAGGTCTCAAGCAATAAGTTAGTTTTAACATGCACTGGGCCTGCTGACCCTTTTCTCAKAACTCTGCTAATTCTAATCTAAATCTACCTCATTTACCGTAAGCTATCATTCATGGCCAAGTCTGGAAGAACCGTCTAAAGTACATCAGGGCTGTTATTTGTTTTTTAACAAATTCCTTCAAACTTGTGGATGTAGCTCAGTGGTACATTCACCTGGCAAATGGGACCCTGTCCAATCCCCAGCACCACAAAAAAAATAAGATTACCACAGACTTAATGGCCTGAAATGACATAACTTTGTTACCTTGCAGATCTGTAGATTAGGATTCTGAGTCTCAATCAAGCTGGTAGCAGGGGTGTGGTCCCCTAGGGAGGTCCTGGCAGATCCTGGAGAGAATCAGTTTCCCTGCCTTTACCAGCTCCTAGGGGCCACCCAGGTGGCAGCCCACTTTGTCTCATTGTTCCTTTCTCCACCTTCAAAGCCAGCAATGTTGCATCTCTTTGGCCATTCTTCCATATGCACATTTAATCTGACTCTTTGCCTTCCTCTTCCATATTTAAAGACCCTCTTGATATCACTGGGGCTCCCTAGGTAATCTCCCTATCTTTGAGRTCAGCAGGGTTGCAGCCATTCTCTCCCCATCCTGGCTTTATATTTCACATCCCAACACCACAGCCTCCACTCCCAGCCCAATACCTCGGGAGCCATTCCCACGTGTGTTCCTCTGGTTCCTGTCAGTAATCTTAGCCAGGTTCGGCAATGCTTCCATGAGAAAGATTTTCTCTTGCAGCACTCACTGTTTTCCCAGTGGGACTATGCTGAGGTCTGACCCCAGTTATTGTTATATATTCAGAAAGATGGGGACAGATGATTTTTGAGGAAGAGAAATGTTATCTACTGAAGCATCTCTCCAGGAGAAATCTTGGTATGGTCACCGAAAAAAGGAAGAAGGGGAAAGACTTAAGCAAGAGAGGAGGAAGGCTTTTGCTAAGCCAGAAGGTAAAGGGGAAGTGGGATATTAAATTACTTGTTTTTCTAAAATTTAAATATAACTGGATGTCCTGTATTTTTACTTGTTAAATCTGGCAACCTTTAGGGACTGGGGTTGTGGCTCAGTGGTAGTATGTGTGAGGCACTAGGTTTGATCCTCAGCACCATATAAAAATATAATAAAGGAATTGTGTCCATCTACAACTAAAAAAAAAAAAATTACAAAAAAAAAAAAGGGTCTGGCAGCCCTAAATAAAGAAGGTGGGGCAGAAGCAGATGGCTTGAGTAGAAGTGAAGAAATAAATATTAACAATTAGGGCATTCAATTATAACATGCCTATAATTCCAGCAACTCAGGAGAGAGGAGGATCACAAGTTCAAGGCCAGCGCCAGCAACTTAGTGAGCCCCTGTCTCAAAAAATAAAAAGGACTGCCAGGTGCTGYGGTGCATGCCTGTAATCCCAGGGGCTTGGGAGACTGAGGCAGGAGGACAGAGAGTTCAAAGCCAGCCTCAGCAATGGTGAGGTGCTGAGCAACTCAGTGAGATCCTGTCTCTAAATAAAATACAAAACGGCTGGGGACGTGGCTCAGTGGTTGAGTGCCCCTGAGTTCAATCCCCAGTACCAAAATTAATTAATTAATTAAAATAAAAAATAAAGGACTATGGATGTAGCTCAGAAGTAATGCACCCCTGGGTTCAATCCCCAGTACCCCCACACACACCAATAAAAGATATAATATTAGAAATATGTGACCCAAGGTGTTTGTGTGTTACGTGTATGTGGTGTTTGAAGACATCAAAAAAACTACATAGGAAACAATATAAAAATGAGCTGATGTGTAGTCTTTTCAACAAATAGTGCTAGAACAACTAGACATTCACAAAAACAAAAGACTTCACACCCTTCACAGAAATTCAGACTAGGTCACAAATCTAACCAAACACTAAACTATAAAAATACTAGAAGATAACAGGAAGAAATCTAAATGACCTTAGGTTCGGCAATGACTTTTTAGACACAATCTGTGAAAGAAAGAAAAACAGATAAACTAAAATTACTAGGTGTGGTATCATGCACCTGTAATTTCAGCTATTCAGGAAGCTGAGGCAGAAAGATCATGAGTGCAAGGCCAGCCTGGGAAACATAGGAAGACACTGACTCTTATTTTTAAAATTAAACATATTTGCTCTGTGAAATTAAAATAAAAATAAAGGACTATAATAATTTTTATTAAGAATAATAATTTTTTTAAAAAGCCACAAATGGCAGAAAGTATTTTCAAAAGAAATATCTAATAAATCACTGTCATCCACAAGTGGGGGAGTAAATCAGTGGTAGYGTACTTGCCCAGCATGCACAGGTCCTAGGTTCAATCCCCAGTACAACCAAAAGAAAAGAAAGACATGTCACCCAAAAATTCACAAAGAAAAAACTCAAGAAGAAAACAAATAGCTTGATTTTAAAAAGGGTCAAAGACCTTAACAGATACCTCACTAAAGAAGATATGAAGAAGGCAAATAAGCATATTCACAAAGATATCCCACATCATGTCAGAAATTTTGGAGTTTTAACAAGATTATACCACCACACACTTATTAGTGAAATCCAGAACACAGACAATATTACAAACTGGTGAGGATGTGGAGCAACTCAAAAATCTCATTTATTTCTGGCAGGAATACAAAATGGGGTAGCCACTTTGGAAAACAGTTTAGTGGTTTCTTACAAAACAAAACTCCACCTTACAATCTATCAGTCACATTGTATGGTGATACATACCTGTAATCCCAGCAATTTGGGAGGCTGAGGCGGGAGGATCACAAGTTCAAAGCTGGCCTCAGCAACTTAGTGAGAGACCACGTTTCAAGATAAAAAAAAAAAAAAATTTAAAAGGGGGAGTAGGGAACAGGGGTATGGCTCAGTGGTTAAGTGCCCCTGGTTTCAATCCCCAGCACCAAATTAATTAATTAATTTAAAAATAATGAATTGAGCTGGGAATGTGGCTCAAGCGGTAGTGCGCTCACCTGGCATGCGTGCAGCCTGGGTTCGATCCTCAGCACCACATACAACCAAAGATGTTATGTCCGCCAAAAACTTAAAAATAAATATTAAAATTCTCTGTCTCTCTCTTTAAAAAAATTTAAAAAAAAGAAAATTATGCTGACAGACATTACATCTTATAATGGATGAGAATTCATACTAAAGAGAAGTCCTTTGTGTGTTATGAACGTGGGCAAGCTTTTGGTCAGAATTTAGTTTCTGACACAACAAAAACAGGAAAGGAGATATTTAAATGTAGTCACTGTGGAAAGTTATGTAGCAGACTTCTCAATTAGACATCAGAAAGTTCATATCACAGAAAAGGCATATAAACATCGAGTGTGGGAAAGCATTCAATTGTAAATCACACTTATGGGTGGCCCATGCCTGTAATCCCAGTGGCTTGGGAGGCTGAGACAGGAGAATTTCAAGTTCAAAGCCAGCTTCAGCAACTGCAAGGCACTAAGCAACTCAATGATACCCTGTCTCTAAATAAACTACAAAATAGGACTGGGGGATGTGGCTCAGTGGTCAAGTGCCCTTGTGTTCTATCCCTGGGGCACTGAGTTCAATCAAAAAATAAAATAAAATAAAAAATTTTAAGTCACGCTTTACTCATCATGAGACAAGACACCATGGAAAGAGACCCTATGAGTGCAATGGGCATTTGACAAAACCATTTTTCTTAGCACAGCTTGTATAAAACATTGTCATGGGGAGCTGCCTCAGAAAACACTCTGAGTTCAAACAAAAGAGAGCTTTATTTACCTATCCAGGGACTGTCACCCACCTGTAGAGACTGATGCTCTGTGGGAGAACAGCTGCTTCCTGGCCTGTGTCTTGGGAATATAAGCACAAAAACCACAAATCAGTGGCTTATT